ATAAAGATAGATGGATATCAAAAGGTAGATAGGTGCTAATGGTAGAAAGATATCACAACAAAGTAATACAAAAAAAAATCTTGAAAAATCATCAACGAATTCATCAAAGCTAAATTCTTTAAACTTTTTCTTGGAATCAATTACTGAAATGGCATTGACAACTTTTCTATGCAAACAATTACACTTTTTAACTACAGTGGGTTGCCAAATTATTAGGAACACTTTACTTTTTAAGTAATTTTTAAGTACAAACTACTTTAATGAATAAATATGTATCTTATTGTTATTTTTTTTATTGGTAGAGAGTTTTATTTAGAATATAAAACAACATAACTACTTATTCATTACTATTTATTTTTTTATAAAAAGTTTGAAAACATGACAAATAAGTTAATAATCTTAATATTTTGTAATGCCACCCTTAGCTACAATAACAGCTTTCAGGCATCTGGGCATGCTATCTATGTAGACTTCTGCATTGTGTTGGAGACTGAGGTTGCTATTCCACTCTCTTATAAGGATTTCTATCAATTGCTGCTTGGTAGTGATAATTTTTTTGGCAATTTTCTGTTTTATGAACTGTCATAAATTTTCTATAGGGTTAATATCAGGTGAATTCCCTGGCCATGGCAAAACGTGCACTTTTTTTTCAGTTAGGAATGCTGTAACACTTCTGGCTTTATGGGACGGTGCTGAGTCATGCATGAATATATACTCTTCATTACCAGGGAACCATTCTTAGACCTGGAGCAGGAGTCTGTTTTCCAGTAATAGCTTGTAGAAAGGAACCATATGGCAGGACCAATCCTGCTTCATGGTTCCTTCCACAATGTAAAGGCAGCCCATACCCTTGGCTGAGATCACAGACCACACCCCTACACTCACAGGATGTTGAACCTTTTCCAAAAGGCAGTCCTAGTGAAATTTTTTTCTAGGCATCGTCGAACAAATGATCTTTTGTCCATCAAAATTTGAAATGCTGATTGGCCCAAGAAGCAGACCTGTAAAACATTTTAAAGATATTTGACCTGCAAAATATATCAAAGATATTTCAAAAATAAATATTTATCCTTAAATTTTTCTGGTTTCTTACAATATTATAAATTATATTTACTCTACTCCAGTCTTCAATAGTCATATTCTGGTGTTTTCTAGCCCATTCCAGTCGCTTTTTTTTCATGGCTTCAGTTAAACATTCTTTTTTTGTTTGGACGATAGCACACTAAATTCTCTTCAACCAACCGTCCCTGAACCGTCCTTTTGGAGACGTTAATTCCTTCATTGTTTATAATTATAGCTAGTTGAGCCACACTTTTTTTTCTGTTTTCAAGACAGATGTCTTTAAATTTACGGTCATAACGTGGAGTAGTGATCCTTTACTGCCACTTTGGCTGACATGGTCTGGTTCTAGAGTCACATTTGTACCATTTTTTTTTTTTAAATTCGACTCACTACTGACTTTGAAACGCTTGCAACCTCTCTCTGAGAATGTGTAGAATGAAGTAAGGTTTTTACTTTTCTGTTTTTTTTTTGGGGGTTAAGTCTGGAGACTAAAAAAATTAACGAGAGGTAAGAATAGTTGTATGTCAGGGATTTATGCATTAAAAGTAGCAAAAATACTAAATTAATAACTAAACTAATTGAAACCTAAATATTAACGAATATTTAGGTTTCAATAGTTTTAAACTCAAAAAACTTGCAAAACATTGTTGCAAAAATAAGTAACTGAAATCAATTTTGAATTTTTGACTTTCAACCACACTTTTCAAAAATTGACAGCTAATTGAGTAATAACCTAACTTTTTGACATATCGGGTTATCACAAATTGCCACAGTTTAAAAACAACTATAGTTATATTAGTGACTAAAATACACTCAAAACTTTTTATTTAAAAAAAATTATTTGCTTGCAAAAATCATTTAAACTTTAAAATTACTTAAAAAGTGAAGTGTCCCAAATAATTTGGCAACCCACTGTATATGGTTTGTAAAAAAATTGGTCGCAACAAAAAGTTTTTAACAAAATGTCTTCTCGACCTTTGATTGTGGCCTCTGTAAGCCTACCCAATACTTGTGGAACGCAGTTCTAATTGATAATATCATGGTTGTTTATAAGTTCAAACATTTTAATGAGATCGCTGTTTTCTCTTCTATTCGATAGATTTTGTGAGCCCATTTCTTTTAATCTTTGCTCGTAACTTGCTCCCTTTCTTTTGTAGCCAATTTTTGCGGCTTTTTGTTAGACTTTTTTGATAAAATTTATATCTTTATTAAAATATGAATTCCATATTTAAGATGCATATTCCAAGAACTATTTGAAATTTTTGAAAATATTTTGAAAATTTAGAAAATAACTCAATTAGAAAAAAAATAAATAAATCACTCTACACAGTTTGATCTTGACATCTTATTTAACTAGGAAAAAAAAAGGCTAATCAGTTTTAATAAGGATAAATGTGAAATCATGCAATTTGATCTAAAATAAAGTATACTTTAATATATATAATGCTACAGAAACAGATATCATTTTATTTTACAATAGTACAAGCTTCCTTCTTCCTACTTCCAATGAGATATTTTATTGATTGCTAGTAAAAATGATTGATAGATCAGTTCTCTTCATTGATACACTTAATAGCTTCAGCAGACTGTGAAAATCAGTGGCGAATTTTAGAGTGGGCATGGGGGTAGTTGCCCCCACCCCCCCCCCCCCCCATTGGGATTGACTATTATAGGTAATTGACTATTATAGGTAATTATACATATATGAACTTGATTATTACACTAAAGTACAAAAAGTTAAAAAAAGTCACTTTTAAGTGAAAAATGCAGACCTTTTTTTTTAAAAACCATTTTAGCCACCTCCTTGGTGAGTGACAAAACCCACCCCTGGTGAAAATATTGAAGTTTGTATGAACAATATTACATGTATTAGGAATAGTACAAGAACATACCGAGTATATAACAAAACCATCAGTAGGAGCAGGCATTTAAATTTAAGGCCTTAAGTAATCTGGATCAAGATACTAAATATGATATACTAAATATACTGAACACAAGAAAGTTTATGCATATTTTAAACAATATTAAATCTAAAGTTCCTAAACAACAGCAATAAAAATAGCAATTAAGATTTACTACAACCTTATTGTTGTTGGTTTAAATAAATGGAAACATAATAAAAACATAAAAATATAATAAAGAAATGAAAATTAATTTGGATAACTCTTTAATGTTTTTTTCTTTTAAAATCTATTGTTTAACTTTATCTACACAAAAAAGAAAAAAGAAATCTTACATCTCTAGTAAAATGACCAGTATGAGAACTTTTTGAAGGAAAGCAAACTGGAAACACTCTTTCCCTTACTACTTTATTTCTTGACAAAGCATCTTTAATACGGTTTGAGAATTGCACTCTTCTAAATTTAGTATCCTCAGCAATCTAAAACAAAGTTTACTTTAAAAAGAATTAGCATAAATTAATTGGTTATATTTTAAGTTGATGCATGTATGTCTTGAATAGTTAATATAGAACTGACTTAAATCTCATTTCAATAATATAAATTAAACAAACAATGAAATAAAACCTTAAAACTTGGGAACTTTTAAACTTTCTAAATTTTTATTTGAAAACTACAGTTAAATTTCTTGGTGATTAAGAAATTTAAATATAGCAAATAGCTTTTTGAAAAACTGTGATCTGATACCTATTAAGAAAATTAGACAAAAGAACAAAAATAAAAGGTCTAGACATATAATCATTAAATACAGGAGCTATTTTAGAAACAAATTGACAAAGAAAAACATATTATAATAATAAATGAATTTTATAAAATTCTTTAGAAGAGGCTTTTCTATCATTCCCGTGCATACAATCAAGCACTTTACATCCTAAAACCAAGGGAGTAACATTAAATGATATTGAATCATCTTATTTTGTGGTGTTTTGCAGAAGAATCTTTAAAGATAACAACAACAACAAAAATTTTAAATAATAACTATACAAATATAAAAAAAAATAAAATTTAGCAATTGCATTTTAAAAACACTCAATTAAAATTGTCATATCATATTTCCAGTTTTTTATAGGAAAGGAAAGAAGGAAGTTGGGTTACTGTAGAAACATACGTTGAAGTACTTTTTTTGATACATAGCTACGAAACAGAGGCTGTATCAAAGTTTTCATAGCATGAAAACTTTGATACACTATAGCATGAATCATGCTATAGTGCCACTAAAGCATGAAAACTTTAATACAGCCTCTGTTTCGTAGCTATGTATCAAAAAAAGTACTTCAACGTATGTTTCTACAGTAACCCAACTTTCTTCTTGAGAAATAACAACTAAAAAAATTTAAACAGTAACAACCATACAAACGTGGAAATTAATACTTCATTTAAAGCGTGCTTGTAGAGGAAATTCCTTTTTAGACAAAATATTTTAAATTATGAATATAAAAAGCTTATATTATATTACTCGTTTAAAAACATTCGGAATGTTTTTAAATTTTTAAATTTCTCAGGGATGTCATTCCTGAGAAATGTTTTTAAACGAGTAGTAAAACAAACATCAACTTATGCTTTTTATATTCAAAATTTAAAATATTTTGTCTAAAAAAGTTAAAGTGTCTTGTATTACCTCTACTCAATGTTGTTTTTTCTAATAAATTTAAATTATTATTATCTATAATAATAATTTTTTTACCAATTTAAATTTAATCTTCGACGATAACCAGGTGAAAACGTGCTCCACATTTAAAGAAAATTAATTGTTTCATAAATTAAATTATAAATGCAAAAATTAATTATGTTAGCTCTGTCCTGGACGTGAAGCGGGACAATAGCGGAACATTTTACAGGACCTAACTTTACGCTATGGAATCATGTACTTACCAACAAATCAAGTCGTAAAATTTAATTCTTGAGTAAACGAAGTATAAACAAACAACTAAAACAAATCCTATCACTATTAAAACAAATATATAACATATATAAATCAAAATGGATTATGATACAGTGTGTAGTATGAAGGTTGAAGAACTAAAGTCTTATTTACGTCTTCGTGGCTTGAAAATATCTGGAAAGAAAGAAATTCTTGCAGCTCGAGTCTATTGTGCAATGGAAAACAATGTTACGCCTATTAAAACAGCTGAAGAGGTGGAGCATGATATACTTACTGAGTACAAAAAAAAACTTTTTATAAACGGCGTTGAACTACCTGATCCTTTTAAGCTTAGTAATGGTTGGTTATCAGAAGATGAAGGTCTAACTTGTTGGCCAACATTGTTATATCCTGATATTTACAATTATTTGTTATTTAACCCTGCTGAAATTGCAAGTAAAGACTTAAGTGACTACAAAACGTGTAAAGCTTATAGTTATTTTAAATGTGGCTGGCTTGAACCTTTATTTTACCATCAAATAGGAATAGAGAGTGAATATTGCTATTTAAAAGGGAACTGTAGGAAATCTGAAAAAATTAATGATCCCTTTCACAAGCTATGGATTATTATTAATAAAAAAAACTGCTAAAATAATTTCAGCACATTGCACTTGTCTAGCTGGTCTATCGCAGACATGTAATCATGTTGCTGCAAGCCTCTTTCGAATAGAGGCTGCTGTTAGAAATGGTTTGACAAATGTAGCTTGTACTAGTTCAAAATCAGAGTGGCTTCCAAATCGTAGCATAGTAGCACCAACAAAAATATGTGACTTAAAATTTGATCGTGATGAATTTGGTCAGCGTGGAGAAAAAAAGCGTTCACTAGTATCAAATGAAAAGCGTAATTACAGCCCATTAGTAAACTGTGATATAAAGCTTTTAAATTTAACAGACATAGCAAAAGCAATCGAAACTGTTCCTCCTCATAGCATTATAACTTCTGCTGTACCTAAACCTGAAATTTATTATATGGAAGAATTAATCGTGTTTGAAAATGTTACCAAACCTACAATTTTGACCATGGATGATATTATTGTTATGTCAGACAATAAATTTTCTTTTTGTGAAAATATAAAAACAAATATGACTCAAAAAATAATTACAAATATAGAGCGTCTGACTATGGGTCAAAACACAAATAAGCTTTGGTTTAATTTTCGAAAGCAAGTTATAACTGCTTCAAAAGCTCACGATGTTCTAAAAAAAATTAAAAAGATTAACATGGGCATTAAAGTTGACATGTGGTCATTACACCAAAGTATTTCAGGGTTAACTTTTGTGAACCCAGATATACCTGCATTGAAGTACGGGAGAGCGATGGAAGTTGAAGCAGCAAACCAGTTTTTTGAAGTTATGAAATCCTTTCATCAAAATTTAACTGTAAATGAATGTGGATTATTTTTAGATGTAGAAATGCCCTATATAGGTGGAAGCCCTGATAGAATTGTTCGATGTTCGTGTTGCCCGCCAGCTTGTTTAGAAATAAAATGCCCATTTTCTATAAACCATACAACACCACAAGATCCTAATATATCTCTTCCTTATATTACAAAAAAGTTAAATGAAAAATTTGTCATTAACAAAAAGCATAGATACTATACTCAATGTCAGGTTCAAATGGGGACTGCTAAGATGATTAATTGTTATTTTATGGTATGGACAGCTCATGGTTATATAATTGATAAAATTGCATTTGATGAAGCTGGTTGGTTGAGTATGAAAGTTGATTTCTTTAAGTATTACAACGTTCATTACTTAAATACTGTCTTTGTAGATTTTACTATTAACTGATTGGAATAAAATTATGAAAATGAAAATCTGTGTTTTAAATTATAAAACCCTTTTTATATTTAAATTGGCATTTATAGATTTTTTTTTTTCCTATAAAAGAAGACAATAAGATCCAAATAATGGTGTAACAATATTTAGGTAAAGAATATACTCAAAATCAAAAAGTTTATCCACGCCTCTTATTATAGTAAAAAGAAGTAATAAAATGAAACACATGTATTCATTAAAAGTGCACGGTGGTGTCCGGCATCCCTTACAAGTAATTAAAAATTAAAAAAACAACCTCAGTAATTAAATAAAAAAATACAACCTCAGTACTATCGTGTGTTTAATACAAGAAGGGGAGGAAGTTTAGTAATTTTCCAAAAGTTTTCCCACCCACAAATGTTTATTAAGACCACTCCCCCTCCCATTTATTACCACCAAAAATTAAAAAAATCTCTTTAATCTTTGTGGAAAATAATGTTTTGATTTTAATAAAATAAACTTTTCCTCACTTTATACACAGGGTGGCCACAGCTCCTCTAAAGTATTATTGTAATTATAAAACAGTTGTTAAAGATGCACAGTTGACCACAATCCACACTAACTTAAATTGATTTATGCAAGTTCTGTAAAAAAAAAAAAAAGCCAACCCTTAAATTAAGATTATTATTTATAAGGTCAGAAATAAAATATACACCCTTTCTTGTATTAAGCATTTAAGAGTAGTACTAAATTAAAAAATATATATACATTTTAAACAATTTTTTTTATTAAAGCAGGCTTTAAATTGCACAAAGCTGCACACGATAAAATAATATCATCCATATGATGAAGCATTGAAATAGGTAATACATTTTTTAATATTCGAAAAGTTTTTATTCTGTTTATAGCCCTTTCTATGTGAATTCTTAAGTTAGCAACATCAGTAGTCTTCTTACATTCACTTGCAGTCATTTGACTTTTTACTCTTGCACCTGGTGGGACTGATAAGCTGCAATAACGAAATAATAGTTCTTCTCTTATTTGAAATCCTCTGTCTGCCATCACCTCATCGTCTCTTTCCAACAGATCATAAAAATCACTGTCACTTGTAATAAATTTATCTGATGCTCTGCCACCGTAACATTTGGATAGAAACGTTATGTATCCATTTGGTGCTATACCAATTAATACTTTCACAGTGTTGTGATGCTTATAATCAGACCAAGTCACTGCTTGGTTGTAAAGGGACTTTGGACGTTCAATAAATATTTCAAAACAATCAAGATTCACTCTACACTTGTGATGCTTTGCTTTCACAAAAGACTGTGGCAAGTTTTTTTTTATGACTTCACTTGGCAGCCAAACAATAATAGCTTGTCCAAGAATATTAGCAATAATTCTAATAAAAGTTGTAAAAGTATTAGAACACAAAGATTTTGAAATACCAAAACGATCAGCCATATCTTCATTTAATAAACCTAAGCGCAACCGCATAAGTGTCATTAAAAGTTCTTCTCTGTGTGATAACAGTTTACATTTAGATACAGATTTGAGTTGCTTAACTTTGCTATGTGAATGTTTTGGGCCTCTCCAATAACGAATTGAGGGTAAAAATGGTTTTAATAAACCAAAAATAACGTTAAAAATAGCTATGGAAGATATACCAGTATAAAAGTTCATTTTCTTATCATTGTTAACTAATCTCCAAGAGAATTTTTGTTTAGACTTGACTGTTTGTTTTATTTTTAATTTTTTTAATTGATTAGTAAGGCTATTTACTTTACTCACGTAAGAGGTGATAAGTGAAGATTTGTATTCACATGAAGTACATTTATTAGGTAGTGGTAAACTCATTGAATAGGTATGGTCTGATAATATAGGTGACAAAACATCTGCATTAAAACTAACACTTGGAAACTTGGTGACATTACTTTTTTCAGTCAACAAAGGTTCTACAGGCTGCATTTTATTAGAACAATGTAAAGAAGTGATTGGGTGCTTTAATAATGTTCTTCTAGCTTTTTTTTGTACAGGTTGATCAAAACCCATATTTATTGTTGGATTAGGGTTCATAACAGTTGGTATTTTATCAACAAAATGATCAGAGCATACTCTATCAGCAGTTCCAGGTTCCCATGCACTTCCTTTCTTCTTTCCTTCTCGTCTAAGCTGACTAATCCAGTGTTTTCTTTTTTCGCTATTTCTCTTTAAACTTGGGAAACAAAACATTCGGAATGGTAACACACATCCACACTCGGATAATATCTTCCCTTCGTGTTGAAAACACGTTTTATTTTTCATTTTTCTAGCTTATAGGAACTATTGGTACATCCTATAACAGCACAATTAACTTTCATCTTATCACTATATATTGTATCACTAATTCGCAACTGAGAAAATAAATATTTATCCTTCTAAATTCGTTCCAGGACTTTTTTTTGCGCGGTATTAATAATGGCAGAACTTCCCTTGAACTGGTGTATTGTCTTCTTTATAAGCAAACCTTTGCTTTCTTAACTTTTTCATCAATTAGTTGTTCATGAAAGTTTAAACTAAGTTTCAATTCTTCGATGTCTTTTTCTACTTTTTCCAACCTGCCATTAAATATTTTCAAGTTTCCACTAATAATATCAATAAAAACTTTTTCTTGTTATTTTAACATCAACTCAAATTCTTTTTTGTAGTCCTCAAACAATTTTGTTATTTCTAATAATGTAACAGCCATATTATAAAAAAAAAAGATTTGTATTTTAGAAAAATAAATGTAAAGTAATTTCGCTTATTAGTTTTTAGCTTTAAAGTTATTAGCTTTAAAGTTGTTTGGAAGTCAGGGTTAGGGGTTAGGGTTATGGTTAGGTAAATTTCCGTATAAACGTTTTTTACCGATTACCTCCTTTATAATTTGCCATATTTTTTTTGAATCATTTTTGTGTTTAATTAATTGTTCCAAATAGTGATGCTTCTTTGAGCGTTTTAAAACTGATTCATATAGCCGTTTATAGTTTTTAATTTGATTTATTTTTAAGACTTTTTTTCAAGAAACTTGTTATATAAACGTTTTTTTTTTGAGGATTTAAAAATTCCCCTTGTGATCCAAGGGTTTAAAAGTGTTTTTGTTTTGATAACTTTAGTAACTTCCGGGAATGCTTTATTATAAAGATTAAAAAATTCAGTTAGAAAGATATTATTTGCTTTATCGGCATTTAGATTTAGTTGAAGAGTGTCATATTTGACACCAGTTAGAAGTTTATGAAAATTTTTGATGAAAGCGTTGTTTATAAACCGTGTTGTAATCAATTTTTTTCTATTACTAAGGACATCATAGTTGTTGCATTTTTGCGATAGAATAAAAATAGGGAAGTAAAACAAAAATAAAAAAGAATAATAAAAAATAAAAAAGAATAAAAATAGGGAAATAAAAATAGTGATCAGAAATGTCAGATTTAAATATACTATTATAATATTTACGAAATCATTTGTAATAATTTGATCTAAAGGTGTTGCACTTTCTCTAGTTACTCGCTATAGTTTATTTATTAGGGGAATATAACTATTTTCAAAACTTGTGTTAAAGAAGTTCTTAATACTTCTATTTTTGCTGTATTACAATATATTAAGGTTGATGTCACCAACAATATGAACCAATTTATTTAAAGCTGATTTTTTTAATTATTTTTTAATGTGTTTTTCAAATACCTTAATACTTCCTGAGGGCGGTCTATATAAAGCATGGATGACGATATTTCTTGAAGTTTTGTTAATAATTTCAACGCATAAAGATTCATAATCATTAGTCGTTGAACTTAAATGTAGTTTCCTTTTAAATAAAATTAAATTTTTTATGTAAATACACAAACCTCCACCTTTTTTATTTGATGCTCTAACTTGATAAATTACTTTATAAATAAGTATTTGAAAATTGGAGTTGTTTTCAATGTTTACATCGTAACACTATGTCTCGCTGAGACAAATTACCTGAAATCTAATGTTAATATTATGTAAAAATTGTTTCAATTACTCAAAACTTTTTTGAATATTTCTTATATTAATGTGAAGCATTGAAAACGAATTATCTTCCATTCCTTGATCTATGTTTTTTGATTTAGGGGTATAGTAAATCGGGCTAGTATTTTTAATTACTTGACTAGTGTTGAAAAAACTAAAATCGGGATCCAAATAGTTGTTTAAAATTATTAACTCTTTTTGTGAATTAAAATTTATGTTTGATAAAACAATATCATCAGCCATTTTAAATAAAAAATATGTTAATATAAATTTAATTATCAAAAAAATGATATAAATAAAAAAAAAAAAATTTTAATTTTTTAACGATGACCTTATCATATATAACAATATTATAACAACAGAATATTTACCGTTTATC